CCTTGAGGAAATGGTTGGGCACAATGCTGCCACCGTGGACTTCAACATAAGAATTGTGGGGAGTGGGCAGGGCCGGCGGGGTCTCATTCTGTGGTACGTACAGTCACGGTGTGTCGGGACGGACGGCACAGCACCTAACCCCCACCACCACAACTCCAGACCCACTGCCATTGAGTCTATGCTGACTCACAGCCCCTACAGGCCCAGGCGGAACCGCACCACCACGCGTCTCCAAGACCGTAACTCTGCCGAGCAGAAAGCCCCATCTTTTCCCCGAAGAGCAGCTGGTGGCTTCGAACTGCTGGCCTTGTGGATTGCAAGGGATTATAAAGCGCCTAGGCCCAAATCCCTCCATCATCGAGTCGGTTCCAGTTCAGCGACCCTGCAGGATGAGGCGGGGACAGACATGCCCGGCTGGCCGCTCTTGGGAGCAGCGTGCCGAGGCCGGGCCCTGAACATGTCGCCAAAGCAACATGAACACAAGCAGGCTTGCCAAAGCGGCCTGCCCTGGCTGCCAGCGGCGGCGGCGGCGGCGGCAGCACCCAGTGGGCCCAGACACAACACTGGCTCAGCCTGCTGGAAAGTTCCAGGCGGGAACCGAGGGCCCCCGCCACAGCCTCACCCGGGATCCACTTCCGTCAGGACGTGCTGCTCCAGGCCTGACTTACCCTGGGCCTCTGGAATCTGAACTCTACTCCCATTTTTAAACAGCCCCCCCCCCCCACCCTCAAAACAATATAGTCCACTGTAAAAGGAAATTGCTTAGGGTTTTTAAATGACGATGTCCCCGAAAGTTTAATGATGGCTGTACTTTTCTATAACAAGCCCACGGAGTCACGTACCTGTCCTTTTAAAGGTGAAATCTCATGGAGGGGGTGCCTTCGCGGGTTACCCATTGGGCTGCTGACTGCAAGGTCAGCAGCTCAAAACCACCCGCTGCCCCAAGAGAGAAAGAGGAGGCTGTGTACTGTCGTCAAGAGTGACAGTCTCAGAAACCCACAGGCACGCCTCTACCCTGTCCTGTAAGGTCTCTGTGGGCCGGCATTGATGCAATGAGAGTGAGGTGTCTTGTTTTGGTTGTTGAGTTTGTGGTAGATGAGTTGGAACCGGCTCCATATTAAGAGCCCTGGTGGTGCTGTGGTTAGTCACTGGGCTGCGCGATCTACAAGGTCCGCGGTTCGAAACCACCAGCTGCTCCAAGGGAGAAAGACAGGGCTTTCTGTTCCTAGAAAGAGTTTCAGTCTCAGAAATTCACAGGGCAGTGCCACCCTGCCCTGTAGGATCCCTGTGTGTCAATGGCATTGACATGTAGGCGGAAGAAGTACGGGTTTGGACACCGGCCAGCTGCCAGGGGGCCGAGCCTGCTCCTGGCCATGCCCGTGGGAATCAGGGTGGAACTGTGCTCTGCACACGGGCCTCCAGTGGCAGTTTCTTTGGAAGGAGGCAGCCAGGTCTTTGCCCCGTGGTGCTTCTGGATAAATTCAACCGCCGTGCCCTGCACAGCCCAACCTGTTGGTCAAGTGTGTACGCCACCCAGGTTGGCATGTGATAGCTTGACGTGGTATACCTCTGTTAAGAAGTTGTTTTCATCAAACTGCCCTGGTTATTTTATTTGCCAACATCACTGTGTCTCTTTTAAGAGACGCCTCATCGGTTCAGCAAGTGAGTCAGGTAGGGGCAGGCCGGGGTCCTAAACACCCCTGGAGTGAAGGTGGGTTTTCACCACTCCCCGAGCCACAGACACCCCCGTCCCACTTGACTTAGAAACAGAGCCCCTGTGCCTGGCTTGGCAAAGTCACCTCTTCCCTTTTCCAGATGAGCCGGGGAGGCGGGTGCGCGTTGGGTTCTCTTGGGGAGCAGAACCCGTGTGTCGGGAGTAGAAAGGGACGGACATCAAGAAACGCTTGCGCCGTGGTGGAAGCAGGTCGGTGCGTTCTGGTTCTCTCACCCCCTGGGAGCTGATGAGCAGGACGCAGGGGGCACAGGCTGGTGGGTGCCGTGGTCTGCAGCCGGGCGAAGGAATCCGCCGTGGGTCGCCGCTGACAGGTCCCAGGATCCACATGCAGAGATCAAGGAACCCGATGCAGGATCCAGCTCATGCAGAAGCCAAAGGGTCCAAGAGGAGTTGGCACTGCTCGGTCATTTGCTCTCATGAAAAAGGGCGTAGGACACAACATAGGTGTCGCCAGGCTGTGGCTTAGTGGATGGGTGGAAGCGCCGCCCCTACCTCTCTCCAGGAGTGTCTGGTGACACAGTCCCTAGCTATTTATCCCAGGGGATCAATCCCGGATGCCTCAGGCACAGGGTTCGAGAGGGTCTCCAAAGAGATAGATTTCCGCTAGGCAGTGGGCAGGGCAAGGAGTGAACTACTATAGGCATGACTCTGTCCCCTCACTGGACTTCTCCAGCTAAGCTGGACCTTTCTGTGTCTGTGCAGCTAGGATTCTGGGTCCTGATCTTGCAGTTCAGTTAGCCCCTCTGTGGCCGGACTCTGGGCATTCTAAAATGGCCTGCCCCCACCCCAGGGAGGCTGTCTGCAGCACCCCTCTGGATACCGTGAGAGATGGAACATCTGGACTGTGGAGGGCTGTGGGGATTTCTAAGGGTTATTGGGGTCAAAAGTTACTTTAATTTTCTGATTTGGACACGGTCTGGCCAAATTGTTCTTCACACCCCAGCTGCCTAGGGTGGCACGCTTGTTCCTGCTCACCCAACCCCACAATGTACCAGGAGTGCTTTCTCTCCTCACCTTTGAAGGAGAAAGCTCCCGGGGGACTGGGAGGGGGATGCCTTTCCCATGGGTCATTTTGAAAGAGGCTGTTTAGAAGCCAGACCAATTTGCAGAGGGCAGATCTGCTGGGTGAAGCCTCTTGAAACCGTTGGGAGTAGTCTTAGTCTGAAGAGTGAGGGGGGCCTGAACCACGCAGGGAACGTCCAGTCCCCCCACGCGCATGGGAAAGGTGGACAATGAGTAAGGAAGGCGGAGGAGAAGCGGTGCACTTGACTCGGGGCTGCTGACGGATCAGGAGAGAGTCGTGTGGTCTCGGAAGAAGCGCAGCTCACGGACTTTGGACACACTGTCGGGAGAGACCAGTCCCTGGAGAAGGACATCCTGCTCGGTAACAGCAGAGGGACAGGGGAAAGAGGAAGGCCCTCCCGGGAGAGAGATTCACTGCGTGGCTGCCTCAGTGGCTCAGACATAACGATGACTGTGAGGCAGCACGGGACCGGGCAGCATTCCCTTCCATTGTTCTGCCCAGACGTTCTGACCTAACAACAAGACCACCACCTGTTTCAGTGGCCTCTGTGTGTGTGTGTGTGTCCATATATAAACACACATATATATGTATATGTATATAAACACACACATATAAATCACCTTATTCATCAGATCATCTTGAGAAAAATAATGTTTTGGGTACGTGTCCTACAGCTTAGGACACAGGGGGGCCGGTGCCAAAGAGGGGTCAGTCTGGAGGCCCCAGCACGGGGCAGCGGGGGTCCTCAAGCACACGAGAGTCTTAGGACAGGGTATCGAGGTCCTGGGGAAGTGCCTACACATTAGTATTTCAACGTCCCATCCCACCCCTCTGGGGCAGGTGGTCGGGAACAGCTTTGAGAAATGCTCGCCTTCTCTTGCCTGGAAAGGGAGCTATAATCTCTGAGTCGTCCTGTGGGTCAGCACACCTCACAAAGCCTCCCCCACCCACCGCCTGCCCCTTTCTCTTCCCCTGCCCCCTGCTCCATGCGCATTACCCCCGGGCTGTAATTGGCTGTGACCTCAGTGGTGGAGCGTCTGGGTCCCGCGTGTCCCCAGCGACATGGTGCGGAGCCAGCGAGGCCCAGGGCCAAGGCTCAGAGCCCCCAGATTCTGACTTGCCTGGTTCCCAGCTGGTGGCCCTGAGGATGGGGCTCATCATGGGGTCCCCATCTGGACACTGGAAGGGTCAAGGCTGTGTGGGAAGGCTGGAAGGGTGACTGGAAGGCACTGGTGGCCGGGGCCGGAAGGAATCTAAGTGGAACACCCACTCCACCCGCCTGAAGGGCCGGAGGCTTCCTGACCTACGAAGCTGCCAAGGTGGCGAGAACCATGGATCTGCTTCCCAGCAGAGCCACCTCGGCGGCAGCCCTGGGTTCCGGGGTAGGGGTTCAAATCTCAGCCCCTCGTCTGCAGCAGAAGCATGCCCAAGACTCTGCAGGGCTGTCGTGAGGGTCAGGTGGCTTGGGGTCCCTGTCCAGGAGGGGACAGCTGTCTGACCCACCCCCACCACCACACCTCAGCCTCCGAAACCCGCACAGGTGGGCAGAGAGGACATGCGGGGCGGCTGGAGCCACAGTCCAGCCGATGGCAGCCTTGGTGGCAGGAGCGTGCTGACAGCGACAGGGAACCGGACTTGCCCTGGGTCCAGAGAGCTAGCCCAGGGTGACCAGGCGGCAGTGGACGCGGTCAGCAGCCCTTGTTAAAAGCCACCAGGCTCCTTGTCATCCTTTGAGACACTCCTGGGAGAGGCCCTCCTTCTGGCTGGCCCCAGGCTCCCAGGTGGACCCTGGGCTCAGAGGGGCCCCGTGGTAGCCCTGTGGTCGATCACAGCAGAGGTCCAGCCAGTGACCAGGCTTCAGGTCCTGCCCCTTGTGGATGCCAGGTGGTCACGGCCCTCGCAGCCCCTGTGAGGAGCTGGCAGGAGTTCAGAGCAGGGCCGGGGACAGCAGGTCCTGGTGATTGGCAGCTCTGACCCAGGACAGCCAGGAGGCATGATTCGTAGGCTCCGGGCAGTGTGACCAGTGTCTCCTGAGGACAGTGTGCTGGTGTGGGCACTCACTCCCCCTCCTAGTGAGCCTACAAGCAAGGTTTCCAAGGCTGTAATCCTACGGAAGCAGACACTGCTCACCCGCAGGGTAGCAGGTGGCTTTGAACTGCCCATCTACCAGTGTGCTAGCTGGCGGGATGCGGTGGTGGGTGGCCCGGAGCGGGTGCTGACCTCCTCTGCCGGTCCCCGCAGGCCATGTTCGAGCTCGTCACCTCCGAGGCCTCCTACTACAAGAGCCTGAACCTGCTGGTGTCGCACTTCGTGGAAAACGAGCGGCTCAAAAAGATCCTGCACCCCTCCGAGGCTCACATCCTCTTCTCCAACGTCCTGGACGTCACCGCTGTCAGCGAGCGGTGCGGCTGCGCTCAGTCCACCCAGGGGGGTTGGGCCTGGTGTGGGTGTCCGGCTGACCCCAGGGAGGGAGGGCTGTGGGTGCCGGGCTGCAGGCAGGAAGGGTGCAGGCAGCGGCCGGGGCACGGGGGCCGGGCTGTCGGGGCTGGGCGTGTGCTGCCCTCACCAGCCTGGTCGGCGGCCCTGCAGGTTCCTGCTGGAGCTGGAGCGCCGCATGGAGGAGAACATCGTCCTGTCCGACGTGTGCGACATCGTGCACCGCTACGCCGCTGATCACTTCTCCGTCTACATCACCTACGTCAGCAACCAGACCTACCAGGAGCGGACGTACAAGCAGCTGCTGTGAGTGTGCCGGCTGGTGGGGGGGCCGACAGGGGCCCAGGGGCCACGGCCCAGGGGGTAGAAGTCAACTGTGGCCGCGGTGCCCACCCGGAGGGTACCTCTGGCAGGGAGCTTGGGGAGCTGAGCCTGAGAGAGCCAACCCATCTGCCCACTGGCCTGGGCCCAGAGCTACCATGCAGGCTCGTTGAGGTTTCAACGTGAGGGTGTGAGACCCCCAGACAGAGGGTCAGAGCTGAAAGCCTGGGCTGGGCTAGTGGGGAGGGGCCTCTGAATCCACTGCTAACCTGCCCCGGGTCTCCCGATGAGAACATCAGATGAGCTTACACAGCAAGATGCTAACCCGCTCAGCTTGGGTCAGAAGCATCACGGGACTTTCTGAAGTCACTGGACAGCCCCCTGCCTGGGGGCTCACACCCAGTAAGTGGTGGACGGTCCACACCATCAGGAGTCCGGGGGCATAGTGGTCACGCATTGGGCTTCGATCCTGAAGGTCAGCTCTTTGTAACGAGTCACAGCCTTGGAAACTCAAGGGGTGAGGGGGCAGTGCTGCCCTGGCCCTGTCCTGTAGAGGCGCTGTGAGTCGGCATCTGCTCGATGGCAAAGAGTGACCCTTGAGCATTGGGTGGGTTCAGTGACCGCTTCTGAACAATGAAAACTGGGACCAAGGGAACAGGGGGCTGTTTCGGAGACTGAGAGGAACCTGCCCAGTCTGGCCTGGTTCTAGCCCGGCTCCCCCGGAAGCAGCCCCTCCTCCAACTGGAGGGTTGGCCCAGGACCCCAGACGCCAACACCCTCGCTTCTGACCGCTGCCTCCAAATACAGGGAGCTCCCACTGCCCCCTCAGGATGCCAGCCACAAACGTGCGGTCCCCAGGCTCCCTCGCTTCCACCCACCAACTGCAGGAAAGCCCTGTACATCAGGCAGTGAGTCCTCAGTGTCCACTCGGATGAGGCCGCCCACCTGCCCACTCAGGCACTCTGTATCCGCCCCAGTTTTTAGAGGCTGGAAAGGACCCCTTGCTGGAAACAAATTACTCACCACTTCTGAAGCTTTGAAACCACTGAAAAACTGTGAAGCTTTTCTTGCTCTGATAAAAAAAAAAATGTTTCCCCCAAAAAAATCCACCACGGAGAACCTGTTCCAACTTCTAGCAACCCTGTGGGGCAGAGAATGTCCCTGTGGGTTTCTGAGTCTGTAAGTCTGTCTGGGCACAGACAGTCTCATTGCGGTCCTTCAGAGCAGCTGGTGGGCTTGAACTGCTGACCCTGGGGTTAGAAAGTCCCACCAGCTACGCCCCAGGGCTCCTTCTGGGGCACTGCCTTATGAGCACAGAGGAACTGCATGCACCTGTCCGGGAGGAACCTACGGATTCGGCTTAAGGGCACCCTTGGGAAAGGATCGTGTCCGTGGCCTGGGGCTACCTGTGTAGACACAGAGAGGTGAAGAAAACACCACGGCCACCGAGTCTGTCCAACTCACAGTGACCCCGTGGACCCAGTAGAACTGCCCCGTGGGTTTCTATGACAAAACCCTATGGAAACTAATGGCCACGTTTTGCCTAAGAGTGGCCGGTAGGTTTGAACCCCTGACCTGGTAGTCAGCAGCCCGATGCTCAGCATACTTGCCTGGAGAAATTCTACTCTCAGCCCCCATCCCCTGAGGCCACTAGCCAACACTCACCCCAGATTCACTTGCCTAGCCGAATCTGCTGCTCAGTACCTGCAACCTCCCCATAGATAACAAAGACTCCAGTCCCTGGGAAATCCTTGGGGTTTAGGGATGCTCTCAGGGAGCCCTGGTGGCCTAGTGGGCAGCACTTTGGGCTGCTAACCTCGAAGTCAGCAGTTCAAGCCCACCAGCCACTCCATAGGAGAAAGACGAGATTTCCTACTCCTGCCAAGAAGTTCATGCTTGGAAGCCCAGAGTCCATTCTTCTCTGTTCTGTAGGCTCACTCTGAGTTGGACCCGACTCATGGCTGTGAGTGAGTGAGAGATGATCTTAGAAACTCTGGCAGCCTAGTTACATCCACCCTGGTTACACTTGGAACTGTTAGCCACAAGAGCTGTTCATGAAGCTTTCTATTGCTGAGGTTGATATGCAATAAGTATACACACGTGTATCTATTTTAAACCCAATGTCGTGGAGTCGATCCTGATTGCTAGCAACCCTAAGGGGTAAAACAGACCTGTCTTCTGTTGGTTTCTGAGCCTGTAATGTTCTCGGGAGCCGACAGCCTCATCGCTCCCCTGCAAAAAGGCAGGTCTTAGCAACCCACAGGGGCAGTTCTGCTCCGTCCCATAGGGTCTCCATGAGATCACCTCTCAAAGGACAGAGTGGAACCGCCCCTTTGGGTTTCCGAGACGCTAGCGCTATACAGGAGCAGACAGCCTCACCCTTCTCCCGCACAGCAGCTGGTGGGTTAGAACTGCTGACCTTGAGGTTGGCAGCCCGTGAGTCGGAACCAACAGCGATGCTCTTGGTTCGTCTGAAGAGATAACCAAGGAGGCCCCGGTGTGTCCAGCAGTGTGTGACCAGCTGGCTATCTAAAGGTCACCAGTTCACACCCACCCATCAGGGTCACGGAAGACAGGTGCGGGGGACTTCCCCGACTCGCTGCCTTCAAGTCAACAATGATGGACGTTCGACTGGGGGGTGGGGGTGGGGGCTGCCACCAGTCAGGATGATCCAAGGCAACCGTGTGGGGATTTTTGCTTGGGGTTGGGGTTGGGGTTGGGTTGAGAGATGACCTCCTGGGCTCAAGACTTAGCAGAGCTTACAAGAGGAGCCAGTGGATACGCTGCTGCGCCTGGTGCTCCCCAGGCTGGGTGCATGTGGGGTACCAGGCCTGGAGGAAAAGGGCCTCTCCTGACCGTGTGGCTCTCCCAGCAGCCTCTGCCTGGCTGGCACTGGCCTCACTGCCCGGCTCATTCTCGCCCCCTCACTCAGGCTGGAGCCCTGGGCACCGTGTGCCAGGCCCGGGAGGCACTTGAACCCCAAGGGTTTATCTTCCATGAGAAAAATAACAGAGAGAAAAGTCATGGCCGCAGCTCCCAGGCCCCAGGGCTGTCCAGTGCCTACGAGGATGGTGGGGAGGCCCGACCCGGGGAGGTGGCTCTGGGAAGGAGTGAACGCCGGTGTCTGTCCCCAGCCAGGAGAAGGCGGCCTTCCGGGAGCTGATCGCCCAGCTGGAGCTGGACCCCAAGTGCAGGGGGCTCCCCTTCTCCTCCTTCCTCATCCTGCCCTTCCAGAGAATCACCCGCCTCAAGCTGCTTGTGCAGGTACTGCCCTCCGCCCTCACACCACTGCCCTGCGGGGGCCTGACTGCTCAGCCTTGTCTCTGGTAGCTGCTGGAGGCCTTGGCAGGGCAGACGCTGAAGCCCTTGGCAGACCCCTGAAAGATGAATAGTTCAAATCCCCTCACAGGAGTCTCAGAAGAAAGGCCTGGGGCTCGGTTGGAAACACACACACACACACACACACACACACACACAAACAACTAGCAGGACATAGGCCTGGCTGCAAGGGCAATGAGCTTGGGGCAGGGGCAGGTGGGGTGAGGGCCTCTGAGTGACACTTGGCTGAGGCGTGGCTGACGGGAAGATGGGTGGCATGTGAGGAGGCTTCTGACAGGACTGCCCGGCCCAGGCTGGCTGCCGGCAAAAGTGAGTCTACATCTAACCCAGGTGTCATGCACCCATGGGATTCCCGCGGGCCAGAGGGCAGCCGGTGAGAAGAGCCCTTCCCCGTGGTCAGTGGGTAGAGCCCACCTCAAGCAGCCCAGGGTTGGGGGATAGGGATGTGCAGACTGCTCACAGGCCTGACAGGAGCAGGCCGGAACACGCTTGGTCCTCGCCTGGCTGGGACTCTGTCCACCAGAGAGAGGCTCTTTGCCTGTGCCCAGCAGGGCATCATCTGGGCTCTTTAGGCTGGTTCGGCAGTAGGGCTGCCTTGCAGGGGGGGCGGGGAGCTGGGCCCGCAGTGTGGAGGAAGCAGCGCCTGCTTTCTCCATGCACAGAACATCCTGAAGCGAGTGGAGGAAAGGTCGAAGCGGGAGTGCACCGCCTTGGATGCCCACAAGGAGCTGGAGATGGTGAGTTGGACGTCCTCATTCCGGGTCCCACCCGCCTTCAGACCCTCCTGCCCCACCCTGCTCTCCACAGGCACGAGCATCCTTAAGCTCACGGCCATCTATTACGGGCCGACCCTATAGGATAGAGTAGATCTGTTCCTGCGAGTGTCTCAGGCTGTTAACTCTTTCCCGGGTAAAACACCTCCTCTTCCTCCCACCGAGTGCCTGGTGGTTAAGATCCTTGCAGTTAGCAGCCCCCTGCCCATGACACCCCAAAACAAAAGAACTTCAGCCAGGGGCTTTACAGAACGACCGGAGCCGCTATGGAAGTGCAAGTGCATTCTGATATATGATTTTGCAATCCTTAAGATCACTGGGCAACAAAAGGGGGGAAGGTGCTGTCTGTTGGCTTGAAGAGAGAGCCCCTGTCTTCTGTCTCTACCCGTCCTGTCAGTGAGCCCGGGTGACAGAGAGGTGGTGTGGCCGTTCTTTGCTGCCACTGCCTGGCCCCGGGCACCGGGTCTCTCTCTTCAGCCACTTTAAAGCTCCTGCTGCTGCTCCGTCCTAGAATCCGGAGCTGCCGCATCTTCCTCCCGCCAGGCTGGTTCTAGCTCTCTGAGCGCCCGATGCCTCTCCCTGCCTGGTTCCTGTCTCTCTCCCACCATGCCTCCCCTCCACCCAGAGGCGTTCTCAGTGCCTCATGGACACTGCCCCTCCCTGGCCACTTGCTGACCTCCTGCCGGGCATGGAGGGGTCAGCGGCCAACTCCTGGTCTTCCAGAACAGCTTCCCCGAGAGTTTGCAAGCAGAATGGGGTGGATATGGAAGGAACATGCTTCCTCCTTGAGTGGCAAGTGTCCGCTCAGGCCTTCCCCGGATCCTAGAGGGCCTTCTTGTGCTATTGGCTCGTGGCCTGAGCGGCTGGCCAGGCCCCATGGTGCTAGTGACATGGTGGAAGGCATGGTGTCCTGAGGGCCCAGCAGTGGCTGGGCAGAAGAAACTGCCCTGCTTAGACAAGCCAGGAGGGCTCCTTGGCTTCACCACCATGTACCCGCCTCCCCCCTTGGGCCACCTCGTATCCTCAGTCCAGACCCCTTGGTGGCCAAACCCCTGGCGGGTTCTCCCTGTGAACATCAGGGGCACGCCCCCTGTACAGCCGAGTAAAGGGCCACGGAGCCGCAGGTCTGGTAGGTTGGTGGCCTATGAGCAGGCCAGGTGTGTCTTTTCAATGGTTTAAGTTTTTTGGCTTTTGGCCTCTTTTCTTGGACCCTCCCGTCTGCCTCCCGTCGTTCACGGTTTAAAACAAGCCCAAAGGGAGCTTGGACGCTGCTGTTTTATAAAAGTAACGGGTGCCCCTGTGTGTCGCAGGTGGTGAAGGCTTGCAACGAGGGCGTCCGGAAGATGAGCCGCACGGAGCAGATGATCAGCATCCAGAAGAAGATGGAGTTCAAGATCAAGGTGTGTCTCTCCGTCCCACCCAGGGGCTGAGGCCCCACCACATGAGTCTGCTCACGTGAGCTGGTATACAGTGCCCACCAGCCTGACCATCGGGGGAGGGTGTACACTCTCTCACTGCCATCGAGTCAATTCCAGCTCAAAGCAGTCCTGTAGAACAGGGCAAGAACTGCCCCTGTGGGTGGCCTACACTGTAACTCTCTACTGGAGTGGAAAGCCTCCTCTTTCTCCCAAGGATCCTCTGGTGGTTTCGATCCGCTGACCTTTCAGTTAGCCCAACACTTAAGACCCCACTTCTTGGGAAGGTGCCCCCCTCTGCAGGGCACCTTCTAGCCCTTCCATCTGAAGGCCAGCCCCCGGCACACACAGAGACACTGTATACACAAGGTGTGCTCCCATATACACACACAGAACCCACACAGACAAGTACACTCAGACTCATGTCACACACACTGATACAGAACAGAGAAGACGTGTGCCGCAGACAAACGTACTCACATGCAGACAGACTTCAATGGGGCCCATGTTTGCCCTGGTCTGACCCCACCCTGCACCCTGGGCTCTGGGTTTGTGTTTGCCCAGGACTGTACCCAGGCCCTTGGGCTCTGGGTCTGCAGCTCTCGAGAGGCTCTCTGAACCCAGCCCGTGCTGACCCCACCCCCTGACCCCCAGTCGGTGCCCATCATCTCACACTCGCGCTGGCTACTGAAGCAAGGCGAGCTGCAGCAGATGTCGGGCCCCAAGACCTCCCGCACCCTGCGCACCAAGAAGCTCTTCCGGGAGATCTACCTCTTCCTCTTCAACGACCTGCTTGTCCTCTGCCGCCAGGTCCCTGGGTGAGTCCGCGCCTGCCCGTCCTCCCTTCCTCCCGCCCGCCTGCCGGCAGTTCCTCCCGGAGGCCAGCCATGGTTGTGCCAGCAGAAGCCCGGGCTCCCAGCCCACGCCCCCCACCCCAATCAGGTGCCCAGCCTGGCACAGGGATTCCGGGGCTCCTGAGCCTTCGTCTCCCCATCTAAAAAGTGGGGCCTGCCAGGGGCCTGAGCCGCAGGTGAAGGAGCCAGGTGTCCAGGTGGAGGCTTTAGAAGGCCAGGAGCAGCCAGGTCCCCGGCCCCTCCAGGGCCTGACGCGTCCGCTCCACCCTGCGGTTCCAGGGACAAGTACCAGGTGTTTGATTCGGCGCCGCGCGGCCTGCTCCGGGTGGAGGAGCTGGAGGACCAGGGCCAGACGCTGGCCAACGTCTTCATCCTGCGGCTGCTGGAGAACGCCGATGACCGCGAGGCCACCTACATGCTCAAGGCGTCCTCTCAGTGAGTTCAGGAGGCCGGGTCCCCGGCCACCTGCTCCAGGCCCCGTGGGGAGGGTCCCCCGCAGGCTAGGCCTCCTCCTGGTGCTGAGCTCCAGGTGCCCCGTGGGGACAGGCACGACGAGTGGGGAGAAATGGTGCATGCCAGGGTCCATCGAGAGCACCTCCTGTCTGCCCAGGAGCAGGGCACAGTCCCACCCCAACCCTCCCCCTCTTGGACATGCTCACTGACAGGCCCTGCTTCCTCCCAGGGACCTCCCTGGGGGCCCTGGGCCTGCAGTCCCTCTCAGATGGTCAATGGCAGGTGGCAGGAGGCTGAGGGGCCTTGGCCTCAATCAGCAGGCCCTGCATCCTCTGTGGGTCGGCCATGAGGGCCCTCTCTGGCTACCTCTCAGAGGATACATGGACCGTCCACCTCTCCACTGGTTTCTGTCACGTGACCCCTCTGAGCATTCCCAGTGTCCCATGAGACAACTCTGGGATGCAGGGCTGGGCAGTCCCTGGCCGCCTCGGAGGCACTGGACAATGCCCCCTCTGTGGCAGGAGCGAGATGAAGCGCTGGATGACCTCGCTGGCCCCCAACCGGAGGACCAAGTTCGTCTCCTTCACGTCCCGACTGCTTGGTACGTCGCCCCCTGGGGGTGGGGGGTGGGCAGCAGTCAGACCCTGTGAGGAGCAAGGGTGGCCTGAGCTCTGGGAAGGTGTGACTGTGTGGTGAGGAGGACAAGGCCCCCGGTGGACCTGGAGGGGCCTCCGAGACAGGCCAAGGGGGGTTGGGGCCCAGAAGACAGAGTCCGCACCCACCCAGGGATGGAAAGAAACAGGGCACTGACACACACACCCATCCCCACCCAGGGGCAGCACGGGCCCGAGCCATGTCACTAGACTGCTGCCGGGCATGTTCCAGAGAGGAAACCCTCCCTCCCTCAAGTGAGCCCTCTAGGGTGGCAGCAACTGGACACTGGTCACTGCTGTGCCTCGACCAGCAGCACTGCCGTTCGCTGGGGCTGGGTGGTGGTCCGGGCCAGGCAGGGCAGTGTGACAAGGCCGTGTCCCCGCCCCACCAGACTGTCCCCAGGTGCAATGCGTGCACCCATACGTGGCCCAGCAGCCGGACGAGCTGACGCTGGACCTCGCTGACATCCTGAACATCCTGGAGCAGACAGAGGACGGTGAGGCCCTGGGCATGGGGGCAGGCTCAGCCAGGTGGAAACAGACAGGTTCTGGTTCTCCGGTTCTGGCTGGCAAGAGTGCCAGGTCTCTTGGCTCTGCCCATCGGGCCATGCCACCTCAACGCCCCCCCTCATTCCTCTATTTTCCCACCGTGTCGCAGAAGCAGGCCTGGCACAGGCCAGGAGGCCCCGCTGTCCCCTCAACAGTGGGCCCCCTCACCCACCCACTCAAGTGGCCATGAGCTCAGGTCACTGCAAACCTGTGGACGGTGACCCCGACCCTGACCCCAGGCCCTATGTGTGCAACCAGTTCCCGAGGGAGCCTGTGGCCACCAGGCCTCCAGCCCTGAGCTGGGCACCTGGCCTGCAGGAGGGGGACCCCCACCCCGGAGGACTGGCCCGCAGGAGGGAGACAGTGGACTTGCCGGCCACATAGCCACGTGGCCATCTCCCAGCCCCTCAGGTGCCTCCGTTTTGAGAGCAAGCTTGGGGCCTCCCGGTGTGAAGGTAGCCAGGGCTTTGTGGAAGGTCCCAGAATGAGTTCCAGTGTCAGTGGGCTTGGGATGTGCCCCGAGACTGGTGTGGTCAAAGAGGTCTGCCCGCCTCATGGCCTCCCTGCGAGCCAGTTCAATGAGCCTCCTGGGAGGGGGCTGGGGTAGCTCTGTCCAGCACCCCTGGTGGTCTTGATGCCCCACTCCACCATCCCCGCAGGGTGGATCTTCGGCGAGCGACTGCATGACCAGGAAAGAGGCTGGTTCCCCAGCTCCATGACGGAGGAGATCTTGAACCCCAAGATCCGGTCGCAGAACCTCAAGGAGTGTTTCCGAGTCCACAAAATGGACGACCCACAGCGCAGCCAGAACAAGGACCGTAGGAAGCTGGGCAGCCGGAATCGGCAATGACCCCTGCGGAGTGGGCAGGCGGGAGCAGGGCTGGCAGGCAGCAGAGGGGCCCCAGGTGGGGGTGAGGGGTGCTTGTCCTGACCCCTGGCCCAGAACTGGAGTCAGGATTCACCTCTCTCCTTATAAACGAGGTGACTTTTAAACAGTGTTACAGCTCCCTCTGTCCCCGGTCCCTTAGAGGGTCTACAAGGGAACAGGCATGCTCTGGGGGCATCCCAGGAAAGTGGCACTAGCCAAAGACAGGCTGGAGGTGATGGCTGACCCCTTCCCCATGTCCCTCTTCCCCTCGGGAGCCACCAGAGTGAACCAAGCGTGCAAACAGCCCATCTTTGCCTGGAGGGGCCTGGTGGGCGGCCTGCAGTGCACAGGACTAAAACCTTCCACCTCTGCCCGCCCCTCCCCAAGCCTCAGCCAGCCAGAGCTTGGCCGAGGGCCCATGTCACCTCAGGCTCCTTGGCCGGCCAGAGGTACTGTGACTTCTGTTCCCTTCAGAAGTCTAAGCATTTTAAAGAATGAATCGGCTGCTGCATCTTATATGGGTGATCGTTATGAGAGAACCAAATCTCCATCTTGGCTGCATTAAAAGAAGCATCATGTGTAAAAGAAAGGAGGTGAAGATCTTTTCTTTATTGTCCTGGCTCACAGGAATGTGCTGTTGGGTCCTGCACAGAAGAATGAAGCAGCCAAGGCCAGTGAAGAGGCTGGCAGGGCTTCTAATGGAGGAGGGGACAACCAGGCCCAGGCCTCCGGGTAGAAGGGTGGGTGGGTGGGTTGGGTGGATGATGTGTGGATGGGTAGATGCATGGGAGACGAATTGAAGGATGAGTGGGTGGGTGGATGGATGGTTGGACTGTAGGTAGGAAGATGGAGAGGTGAGTGAGTGGTGGGTGGCTGATGGGTAGATAGATGGGTAGCTGGTCAGATAGAGGATGGATGCCCGATGGGTAGATGGCCGGAAGGACAGGTATGTAGATTTCAACCCTAGCAGAGAAGGGCTACAGAAGCCAAAGGACCTGGCAGCCTCCTGCAGTTGAAGTGGGGACACTGAGGCACCAAGACTGGCTGAGGGACTGGGCGTTAGATGGGTGGTGGTCCCACAGGGGAAGGAGCTGACCATCAAGAATTTGGCCAAGCCTCCTACCCGGCCAACTGTGTCCTCAGATATTCTTCCCACAATCAGCGGTTGTCAGATATCCAGGGACTGCACCAC